TGGAGAAGGCAAGGCGGGTGAGTCTTCGGCTCTCCGCAGCCGTAGTGGTTTTCCTGCTGGCGAGGAAATTCAGTGTCAAAAGAAAATCAAAAGCACTGATAAAACTGTTGTAGTTACTTAGTTCTCCGTGGGCTGGATTTAGCAGCTTCCTCTTTGCTTAGCTATACTTTAGCAGATTTATTGTAAGAAAAAATAGTGAGGTTAGAGCAACTGAAATGGCAGAAACTAATACTTTTGGCAAAGGTGCCTCAGGATTTTTGGTTTCCTGAGGTCACAAGTGTGCTGCTGCAGTAATTGGGCTAACTTTGTATTTCATCATTCTCCTAATCTTAGGTATGGGTCTTTGTCATTTTTTCTGGAGGTCGTATGTACTGGGTTTTTGTATACTTAACTCTTATGTTCTTTTATGCATGTTTTTACAGGCTAATGCTTAATACCACTACTGCTAAAGACTACGAATTCCTTATGCATTTTGTATTAATGCAGCTATTTAGACTATTGTACCTGTAGCATAACTTTGTTAGATGCTAGCCATAATCCTTTCGAAGCTCAAGGGGGTATTCTTGAAAACATTTTGCATGTGTTTTGCTTTGGTGAATTCATTGTATTTTGTCTTGAGAAATCAAATTTGTATTTCTTTTTAAACAGCAAGTTGCAGATTTAATAGGAGCTGATTCAAGGGAAATCATATTTACCAGCGGTGCAACAGAATCAAATAATATGGCAGTTAAGGTAAAAGGTTTATACTGACAGTTACTTATTATATTAAAATATATTCTTAAGAACTGTATGCATCTTTCAACAGTTTAAATGTTAATATGTTGGCCTAGTTAGCAAATATTTGCATTCCTGGATTTACTCCTTGTGGTATTCTGCTGGATGGAGGAAATACTGGGATGTTTTGGTGCCCAGGACATGGTTTTGAGGACAGAGTAAACTACTCAATGTTTATCTTACATGCACCAAATACAATCCTTCTGCTTATGTAATTAAAATCTTTATCATGAAATATAGTGGAGATGCTGATTATGAACTTTTTTCTGACTAAGGCTAGGTAGTGTTTTAACCTTTAGTATGTGGTTGTTCAGACTTGTCATTGTATGTGACTCCATTGCAAATGTTTTTTAGAAAGTATTTGTGTTAATAGTGTCTAGGTCTTATATCAATTAAAATTTTCACAGGCTTTTTGAAAAGTGAGATGCTTTGAAAAATGAGTGCTGATGGAAATATGTAGTGTGAATTACATGTCAGTACCTTTTAGATTCATGACTTTGGGGCAAACAGGGAAGATCCACTTGAATTACATCTTAATAGTAATTTCTTGTTTCTAATCATTTTGTGTAAAGCTTGCTTTCTTCAGTGGTCTAACGGCAAATTTCTTGTTCATGGCTTGTGCCTGACAGGGTGTTGCAAGGTTCTATAAATCCAGAAAAAAGCATATCATTACTACGCAAACAGAGCACAAGTGCGTGTTGGATTCTTGCCGTTCCTTGGAGACAGAAGGTTTTCAAGTCACGTATCTGCCTGTTAAAAAAAATGGGCTCATAGATTTGAAGGTAGGTTGTTTACTGACAGAAAGAAAGTGAAAGTAGAAGAGGTTTTTGCCTCAAATTGATACTCAAGAGGAAAGGATGATAAATATCACAAGGTAGAATGAGAGTCACAGTTGGAGGAGGATTTTCTGTTCTGTCTGGTGCTCTAGATTTTTTCTCAACCAAAACATCCATCTCTCATCCTACTGTTCATCTGCAGTCATTCATACCCATGCAGGTGGAGCTGTTGCACACCCTATAGAGAGCCCAGTGCATGACTAGGATGGAGCTGGCTTTGATACAGGAGTTAGTGGGAAATTTCATGACCTGAGCTACTCAGGGCATCAGACACAGTGATTACAATACTCCCTTCTGGTTGCTGTCCATGAACTGACTCTTCTGGGTGTACTGGCCACAGTCCTGGGATTTATCGTTTGCGTCCCGTAATACAGGACAGCATCAGTTTTATTTCTAGCCCTGTCATCTGGCTTGGAGAGATGTTGTGTGTATGTGGTGGGGTAGAGGGATCAGGCCTGCAGGCGCAGAAGTGTTGGTCATGTTCTCTGAGAACTTTGCTGGCAGACTCCTTCTTTGCATGATGCTTTCTTGTATATAGTGCAGTTCCTTTATAGCCAACCTCACTTTGTCTAGGTATGGCTTAAACTGTTTTGTGGGTGGTTAATTCGTTAAAGAAAATAGTTCAGAGGAATGTATGAGACATAGCAAAAGCCTGTTCTGACTTGATTTAATCAAGTCTGGTGGCACGGTGCATACCAGGGTTAGGCTATTCGGAAATGCAGTTGGTCATGCTCCTCTTCCTACAGGAATTTCACGTTCACATGGATTAGTGCTCTCGCGAGGACTGTTTGTCAGAACCCAAGGGGTTTGTTGGTAATGAGCTAGCTAGGGGACTGGTGGTTAAGATTTGCTAGCAAAGTGAAGGTGTGCTCAGGAATCTTGCTTCTGCTGTTAGTCACAACTTCTGTATGAATATTTCACCAGGAGTTGGAGGCTGCGTTCCAGCCGGATACAAGTTTGGTTTCAGTAATGACTGTGAATAATGAAATAGGAGTGAAGCAGCCAATTCATGACATTGGTAAGTACACCATGGCTTCCAGAGGCCAGCTGATGTTGCTGCTTCTTCATTTTACTTACTGTTTGCATAGCCAAGTGTTACTGATGCAAAAGATTAGGTGCAGTATAGTTAAGGAAAAAATAATAATGCTGTCCCAAAGAAAAACCTACTTTAAAAGGGAAATGAGGGCAAAATTCATTACTTTTACAGTAAGTATTGCAGCAGTTATAGCTGTACAGATTAGCTGCAGGGTTTCTAGTTCCATTCTGAATTGTACGATGGATGAAGAAATGCACAGAATAAGTGGCCAATCGAGTTTACATACTATAGTGGTTTACTGAGCACTTGTAGTGTTTAAGAGGAGAAATGTGCTGAATTTGGGGTGGGAGGGGATGGTGAGCACCACCCTTAGACACCCCTTACCACCCAGTATTGCCATATGCAGTCATGATCAATCAGTGTGGAGGTCAAAAGCCCGGTGAAGAGCCGGGTTTCTGGAACAGGAGGCAGGGAGAGGGTGAGCCAGGCTCTGAGCAGGTAGATGGAGGGACAGGGACCTCAAAGCAGTCTGGCAAAGCAGGTGAAAGGAGAGCTGGAGAACCAGGGTTGTTGGAGCAGGCAGGGTGAGCAGGTGGCCCACATGCAGCTTCCTGAATCCCACAGCGATTCCTTGATGTTTCCCATGACAGTGACAACGCCGCCCCGCCCCCTTCATATTCAAGATGTCCTTTCATAAGATGTTTGAGTTTTTAGACAGTTTTTAGGCTTTGGCCTCTGCCCTGGAGTTTATACTGCCTGGTTCTGGAGGGTGTTGTTTTCCCAGGCTGTGGCAGGCATCTTATCCTGTTGTGCGGCTGATTTTCCTCTTACTTAGCTGTTGCGTTTTTTTTTTTCTTTATTACGCATAAAGCAGCATTTTCCCCAAGGCTCTTCAGGTTATATTTCTTCATTGACAAGTAATTGACCATCAGTGAGTTGCTTATAGGCCTGAGGAATCTATTTTCCTCCTGTGCTCAAGGCTGTTACTGTTGTCCCATGCTTAAATGCCAGAGCTACCCGGTACCGAGCTCTGGTTCCCACGGTAAGTTCTCATAGCACCTTGGTAACAGGTCTGATAGGCCAGGACAGGGGCCCTGCAGAGTTAACCCAAGGCCCTGCTAGCGTGAGGCCTGTGGCCTGGTATTAGCAGCAGCAATGCTGTTCTTGCTGGACCACAGGAGGACAAGTTCTGTGAAAGATAATGCTGAACTTGTGCAGGGGAGAGGTCTGGGATGCAACTGTGCTGGGTGCAGATTCTGTGGAAGATGAGTTGTGTTTTTTGATGACAAAAATAAATAATATTGACGTTCACTGCCCATGAACATTACATTATTTTGCTCCTTAGTGTATTTTAGCTCTGGGTGCAAAAACATTGATTACAGGCTTGACTGACTTCAGGTGGGAGTAATCAGCATATGTGAGGACTAGTGACAACTCTGAGAATGTTTTTGAAGCTGAGTATTGCAAAACTTGGAAAATAGAGGAAATGGCATAAAAACACCTGGCAAGTATAAACTTGAAAGTAAGGCTGGCTTGTACTGGACTGGTGTTGAGAAGAAAAATAATCAAGAAAAAAAAAATTTTAATTTTGTCCAGCTGCGGAGTCATCACTGTGGGGAAACTTGGATGTCCCGTGTAGCCATTTGTACTTGAACTTGGTAGGTGTGGGTTTGGAAACAATCTCACTTCTTAACAGCAGAAGACCTTTTAAGTTCTCAGCTGAAGAAATTCACTGTAGTCTTACTTGCTGACCTGCCTAAACCTGTGCCCAGCTAGGCATCAGCTAGAATAGCTCCTACACAGCTTTAGACACTTTACTATACAAGAAACATGACAGCACCCATTTCTTCCTTTGTCACCTCAGAGCTGGTCCCTCCTGTAAACTGATGCTTTAGATTCATTGTTGGAATAATTGGGATCATAACGATTAGATGAGATAATGTGGGGTTTTTTTGGTTTTGTGTTCCTATTACAGGTGAGATCTGCCGTGCACATAAGGTTTTCTTCCACACAGATGCTGCACAAGCAGTTGGTAAAATTCCTATGGATGTCAACGACATGAAAATTGATCTAATGAGCATCAGTGGCCATAAAATTTATGGGCCCAAAGGTACTTATTGAAGTGCTTTTCTACAGAACTGTTGTTTCCATGCCTACCTTAAGGTAACTACACAAGGTATGAAGTCAAACCTGTCTGTCACAGTGACTGTTACTTAAACTGTAGAAAACTATTGTAAGACTGGTGTGGGACTAACTTTGGAGTAGTTCAGGCACTGCTGCCAGACTTAGAGCTGTGCTAAGTGGATCTTCAGTGCTGATGGGTTGTGAGGTGGTTTCACTGAAGAAAGAAACAGTATCTTGTAATGGTGGCAGCATTAGGAGGAGTGGCTTTTCAGGAGTCATCTGCTTGGTGTGAAGCAGCATTGATGCTGTAACAGTTGAAATGAAATCACTGGGCTGTAGGGCATAGTTTAGACCCAAGTGTAACTTGCAATGAGGAGATCAAAAGGTAACTGGAAAGTTTAAATTCTTAGTGATTTTGGTTGCCTTCTACTTCCAATGGCTTCTTCCCCCTAAGCCCATTTGTGCATCTTCTTTGCAGAATGGGGTTTAAAATCCAGCTATGGATTTTCTAGTTGACTCCCAAATAGTAAAAGTTCAGCTATTATCACTGTCACAGTCCATTTAGTTTGTAACACTGGACCTACATCTATGTTTCTGTCTACAAAGACAGAAATCAGGTTTGCTGTATTCTATGTGCTATTCGGAAACAAAAGGAAAAATTACAGTATGTCTTCTTTTTCTGTACGAGCTGTCCTGAGAGCCAAAGACCTATCTCTGGATGAGAACTAAGTTTTCAACGAATAACTTTGGGCAGGTGACAGACATAAATTTTCAAAACTTACTATGACCAGAAGTTGCAACCATTCTTACTGTGATGACAGTCACTTGTTAGGTGTGCCAAGTGTCGTGGTTTAGCCCCAGGCAGCAGCTCAGCACCACGCAGCCGCTCGCTTACTCCCCCTACCCCGATGGGATGGGGGAGAGAATCGGAGGAGTAAGAGTGAGAAACACTCCTGGGGTGAGATAAGAACAGTTTAATAATTGAAATAAAGTAAAATAGTAATGATAACAACAATAATAATATACAAAGCAAGTGATGCCCAATGCAATTGCTCACCACCCGCCGACCAATACCCAGACAGTTCCCAAGCAGCGATCACTGCTCCCCGGCCAACCCCCCCCCCCTTTTTTTACCTCCCCCCACCCTTTCAGTTTCTATACTGAGCATGACATCATATGGTATGGAATGGCCCTTTGGTCAGTTTGGATCAACTATTCTGGCTGTGCCCCCTCCCAGTTTCTTGTGCCCCTGGCAGAGCATGGGAAGCTGAAAAGTCCTTGACTGGCATAAGCAGTACTGAGCAACAACTAAACCTTCAGTGTGTTATCAACATTATTCTCATACTAAATCCAGAACACAGCACTATGCCAGCTATTAGGAAGAAAATTAACTCTATCCCAGCCGAAACCAGGACACCAAGACACATGAAGACATGGAAATTGAGTTTCTAGGTGAGGAGACTAGAGAGTTAAATTGGCTGGCTGTTAAAACTGTCTCATCTGATCTGCCTGTTGGAAATTGGTGCCACTGATGAGTCTCCCTAATGGGAAGAAAGGGAAAGGACTCCTGGAACTGATGCTGGCCTGGTAATCCAGGGAAAGGAGTTCTTCTAGAGCTTTCAGTTGGAAGTCAGCGAGGGAACATCAATGAATGAGATACATGCACATAAAAACTTCAGTGCAAAGGGATGAACTTCAGCTGCGCACAGGAATTGTGAGAAATAAGGGAAGTATTGAGTCCTTAGGTGGCTGAAGCACACTGGCAGAAACTGAGCTTCTCCCATGGTTGAAGCTCTGGGAGCCTGAATGAAGAGGAGCATGAATGGTGGCAACAAACACCATTTCCTAGAAAATATTGTGCTTCTGTATGTGTTCACTATGTTTTTCTCCAGTGAGGTGTCCAAATACGTGTTTGCTGTGGAAATAAGGAATGTTTCCAAACCTTGGAGTCCCTTTTCATAATTTCAGAACTGTGGGTGTATACTAAAACAGCTTTCCTTGTTTGCAAGGGGTTGGTGCTATCTATGTTCGCCGTCGACCGCGCGTCAGGCTAGAACCCCTGCAAAGTGGGGGAGGCCAGGAGAGAGGACTGCGGTCTGGGACTGTGCCCACTCCTTTGGCAGTGGGACTGGGGGCAGCGTGTGAAGTGGCACAGCAAGAAATGGAGGTATGTGGCCGAAGATACTTGTCCTGGATTCCAGAAAATAATATAACACAGCCAGTTAGGTCTTAGATTCCTTAGGTCTTCTTGTGTCTGTGTGCCTGAATTAAATTTGATTCTCATGTTGGAACATTAAGTAAATGTTTTGAGATCTTCAGGGATGTTTTGGGGTAATTGGAAGTTGATTTTCAGCTTGCTTAAGTTTCTTTTTTCTTGAAGTGGTTGGAATCATGGTTTTCTACAACAGGTTTACAGTTGACAGTTTTAGTGAAATACAGCTTGTACTCGTCTCTCCATTCTGCACACATGTATTAGCAGCATGTCTGAAATGGAATAAATCACGTTTATCTAATGTATATTGAAAAAAAAATAAGACTTTCTGGTCCATTATCGTTCTGTTAAATGTATATAAGTTCAAGTTTACTGCAGCTTTGCAACTAAGGTGGGTTGTTCTTATTTTCCCCTAGCTTGGACAGTAAAGTCTATTTGTTAGGTCTGGTGTTGAAGCCTCTGTGTGCTGCTATATCTGTTTGTGGGCACCAGTGCAACTGGAATGTAAAAAGCCTTTAATGTAGTGCCAATGGGATGCGTAAGCCAGATATCTGTACACATAGGATTAAGCTTCTTCTGGGAGACAGGCAGAGATCCACCATCTGAGCTGGGTGGTTATGGAAGCCTTGTCAGAGGCTGGAGAGCCTGAATTCTGCACAAGCCTCAGATCTGGACTCTTCCTTGCCTGGCAGAGTTTTGGCGTTTCTAAACCAAGTAATATTTGAGATAGCCTTGTTTTCTTCTAAAGCTTTTCCAAGCATGTAAACAAGCATGAATTGCATGTGTGCATCGGGCCATTTCTGTGCACCGGAGCTCATACTATACCTTACAGCTTTTTTAGCGTAAGTGACCTCATTTTTTAGTCTAAAACGAGACACTGCACATGGGCAGTTCTCATTGTGTAGGTTATGAGTTTTAAAAGCTGAGTTCACAGTAATTTGTGAGTCTGTCTTTATGTAGTACAGCTTGAGAGCTCCTAGGGAAATAAGGGGCGCTTACGGTAACAGGTGCCCTTTCTTGTGTTGCAAAATGCGTCATCTTACGCATTACCTAACTTGTCTTTAAACACAAAGAACTTGGTGCTTTTATGAAAGCCACTTTGGCAGCTTGTATATATAGATCTTTCTGAATGGTTTGGAATATTTTTGAAGGCTGAGCTAGCTAGGACCAAACTGGTAATTCTCTTTTAAAACAGTCTCTAGAGTAGGCAAAGCTTGACAGTTTCTTTTTAAGGTTCAGATGTGTTCTTTACCTAGTCTAACCTAACATAGCTACTTCAGTATGCTCATGGCTGGGGGCACAAAGCAGTTTGTGTGAGGTCAAACTGTACACTGTTTATTGTTTTGGTCTTTTTTCTGGTTTCTTTGCTAGTATGACCATAAGCGAATCTCACAACTGGCAGAACGCCTGGTTACAAAAATAATGAGTGAAGTTCCTGATGTGGTTATGAATGGAGATAGAGAGCATCGCTATCCAGGTAACATTAGCAAAATCCTGAGCCCATTAGAACCATTTAGCTCCTCAGTGTTAATGGCCGTGACTGAGTAATGTGCTTTAGCTGCACATTGTGCAAGTGCTGCCACGTGGGGTAGGATTTGCCCTACATTTCAGTTGATGGAAGTTTTTTTTTTTTCTATTTCATTTATTTGTATTTAGGATGCATCAATTTATCTTTTGCATATGTGGAAGGGGAGAGTCTTCTGATGGCTCTGAAAGACGTGGCTCTGTCTTCAGGAAGGTACGTGGAATGTGTGGGAAGGATAGCAGGTTATTTTGGGCAGAAAATAAGATCTGCTAATGGAGGTGCAAACTAAGGAGTGGTCTCCTCTGTGCCCCGTATTTGTGTATTCGGTGAATGAGTCAGCCTGGCATTGATTGCATTCTAATGTGTTTCTCTGAAGCGGTGCATTTCAAATTAAGGTCAAATTTACTCATCCTGAAATTAAAAAAAAAAAAAAAAAAACCAAACCCCAAAAAAAACCCCTCAAGCCCCCAAACAAAACCAGAAGAACCAACCTAGAAATTCCACTCGCCAGCCTTGCAGACTGGTTACCTGCAGTCTGAGTAGCCTTGACTCATAACTGCTGGTGACACTTTCATTCTATAGCCTACCAGCATTTGAGCAGCTTCTGTCCTTCAGCAGG